GCGCTGTAGAATTCTCTGTATGATCCTCCTTAAGCATCCCATTTGCGACCTTATTAACATGATCATAGCTTATCGACTGGCTTATCTCATCCAATGACAAGATATATTGCAAAAGTGCTTGCTCCTGTATCTCTGACAGCTTATAGTTCTTCGGTTTTCGACTTATACGAGGTCCTATGCCCTTTAATCGACGTTGAACGCGAAATTTGCTCACTCGATATTCGCGCGCCTTTTCTGCAATAACAGGACGCTCCCCTGCCTCACGCTCTGCAAGAATATCTCGTACGGCATTTGCTACGCGCTCATCTATCTCCTCATTCGAATCAGGCATGTTGTGGTGGAGCTATACACAAAAGAATACACGCTATTTGGAAGAAAATCGAGAGGAGCGTTACGGGTGTTGATGCGTTACGGTGTCGGCCACGCGCTGCGCGCGGGCTTGCCAGGGGGGCCCCCCCTGCAAGTGGGGCCCTACCAGGGCTCCACCCATTGGGCCACGGGTACTAGTAGTTACCGTAGTAGTGAGCTGGACGCGAGATCAAAGCAAGGTCACGTGTATGATGTTTTGAACCTCAATAAGCCAACGGTTGCGGAGTTCATGCTCATTGCTTTCATGTGCTTGCATGGCTCTGCCAATCTGACCTCCCGCTGACCTCCCTCTGGCCTTGACTCTATGAAAGAGAAAAACCGGCGTAGGGTGAATGGCTCCCACAGTGGTATACAACGGGATCCAAAACGATCAGCCAAATGCAGAGGCACTATTCACAGGCCAGAAGATCTGGTTCTCAAGCACAGTACCACAAAGAACTCGATTCATTGAATTTGTCAAAGTCAATGGAGGCGAGGTCGTGCAGCTCGAAAAGCAGGCCGACATCTGTCTGTACGATCATGCGCGGAAGAACCCTCCTCCAGGAATGTATTCCTACCGATATGTCGAGTATTCCGTAAGGAAAGGACAACTTGAAGATCTCGAGGCTCATAAAATTGGCGGTTTGAGTAGTAGAGCTGCGAGGCCTGTTGGAAGCGTCACTTTGGCCTCAAAAGGCGCCAGGACTACTTTCACGGAGGCAGATGATCAGATGCTATGGGACTGGCTAAAACCCTACAAAGGAATGAAAGGGTCTGCCGGGAATGTTATCTACCAGCAGCTCGAGGCAGCAAATCCCAGGCATACATATCAGAGCTGGAGGGATCGGTGGCTAAAACATGTGCAGTACCAGAACAGGGATGCGATGTCTAGCAATAAAACGGGGCAGCAAGCTATGGCACCTGGAGAGAAAAAGCCGTCCCTAACGAGGACCCCATTGAAAGCATTACGCAGCGGAATCGATGGTACTAGCGACTTCCCAAGAATAGCTGTTGAAGTGCCTGTGAAAGAATCACCAAATCGCAAACGCGGTAGGCCGCCTAAGGTCCGGCAAGGAGGCTCGAATGGCGACACTATTCATGTAGCCAGTCCAGTAACTACAACACAGTCGCCCACGCCTATGAAATCAATGCGAAAGAGGAGTGATAGTGGACCACAGTTAAAAAAGACGCCCATAGCGAAACAGAAGAGTGACGCCGTATCCTGGAAATTCTCTAGGGAAGAGAGGAATCTGCTTCTGGGTGCTGCGGAAGCCATCCTTGAAGTACCTAAAGATGAATCTGGGCCAGCATGGGAGCACATGGCGGAAGTGCATCGATCTCACACTGCAGAGCAATGGAAAACCTATTTCCATGAAGTCGTCGTACCATATTATCACAAACAGCAGAAGAAGTCACAGGAACGAAAGAAAACGACGAGTATCGACACTGCCAGTACAAACGGTCGACAGGGAGAAGGAGACACCAACAAGGCTCAATCCACGATGCGGAAGAAGGGGAAGAGCCAGAATATAGAGATGTCTAGCGAGAATGTCCGGCAGAATAGGAATGGAGATACAGTGAGCACACCACCAAGACCGAGTCGTCGTCAGCGGAGTCCCTCTTTCACACCACAGTCTCCAGCAGACTGGAAGTCAGAGGCTGACGGAAGTCGGCAGGCGCCAAATCAATCACGAAAGAGAAGTCCAGCCAAAACCAATTCGCAAGAGTCAGCCGGTTCGCCAAACCTTGGTAGCCCAGCCCATAAAAGGCAACCCTTACGACGGATCAGTGGAGTACAGCAGCATGAAAGCGAGGACACAGAATGGACACCCCTGCCATCAGCCAAGCGACGCAAGCTGTCTCTGGCCGATAATCCGGTTCTTGAAATCCCATCAACCCCCGAGCACACCCAGGAGAGCGAAACTCTTGAAGATCTACCGGGTACACCGACACCAAGAGCTCGGAAAAGGCCGCATCACGAACTAGAGCGCTCTTTCTCACCCCTTTGCGTTTCTTCCGATACTGCTGACGAAGAAGACAATCTCCCAACCACTTCTGATCGAACCCCTAGACGTAAAGAGACCATGGACCCAGAAACCCGCACAAGTCCAATCTCCGTGCACTTAGTCAGTGATCACGAGCCAGGCATCACATCTAGTTTATCTGGGGCGCGAGCCCATAACGTCGACATTGCTTCCAGCGGCTCACCAACCCCCGAATTCGAAACCGCGCCAGACTTCTCCCAGAACCACGAAGACACTGACCAAGACGAGTTCGAAACCGCAGCAGAACAGCCGCAGGCCGTGCAGAAAAAATCACAGCCGAGCACGCAGGCATTGTTTTCCAACACCACCCAGCACGGCGAAGGTTCATTTGATTTCGGCCTCCCAGATCCAGAAGGAGGCTGGGAGGCCATGGACCCGGCCCCGAATCTTGGTGAGCGGAGTAATCGAGGAGAAAGGACGACATCTCCAACCTCAAGCACGACCTCCACCTCCACCTCCGATTTGGATTTAGATACCTGGGTGCAACTTCGCGTCTCCGAGGGCAAGAATCTCAAACTTCTCGTCACAGCAGCCGAAGCGACGAATCTGCAAAACACGCTGGCTGATAGTGTGTATGAGAGTCTGGAACGGGGTCGTGGTGTTCCTAGGGATGTTAGAGGCGTGTGGACAAAGGAGGATGATGAGTTATTGATGGGGACTGATGCAAGGGGGGTGGAAAGGGTGGAGCGGAAGCATGGAGCGAGGAGTGTGGCGGAGAGGTGGGAGTGTTTGGCCATATGGCGGGACTAGTTCTCGAATAAGGAAGAGGGGGGATTTTTGTAGCAAGCCAGCAAGAGAGGGGGAGAGAGAGACTTGAAACCCAAAAAAGAGTCTATCCACAGTCCCTGAATGATCAAGAAGAATTACCTCGTAGTCTCCTGCAAAACTCTAACAATCGCCTAGCTACCCCTGCTATCCACAAAGTGTTGACCAAAGAACTCCTTCGACAGCCCATTCCAAACACAAGCACAGCTATCAGCCACCTCCAATCTCCCCGTCAATCAACCAACCATGTTAATTCTCACAAGTCCGCTATCCAAACACCCGAGACAGCTATTCAGAGCTCCGCTGCCCCTTCCGCCTGCCTGCCGAGAAAAAAAAAGAAAAAGCAACGTAGAAGTTGGAGTTAGAATCTTCACACCTCATCGCTCCCAGATTTCCGATGGCCCCGTACAAGCCGTCGACCGCGACCGCGTCCGCGCCCGCGCAGGCTGGACTGGGAGTGCACGTTGATGGTATCGCCTGCGCAATCACTGGCGGCATCGTCATTTCCATTTGCCTCTGTGTCGTCGTGAGCGACTTCCTGCTTGGCTTCGTCTGCAGCGTGCTGGGGGCGGGCAGGACCTGGAGGGATGATGGGATCGGAACTGAGGTGTTGGCCTTCGGATTTAGTGTTGCTGTTGTTGTTTTTGGCGGTGTTATTCTTGTTGTCATTGACGCCGACGTTGATCGGAGCATCGAGGTCGTGATCGTGATCGGAGCCAGATTGACTGTCCTGGATCTTCAGCTGCGCGTGCTTGGTCTCCTTGCCCTTGCCGCTTTCACGCGGACCTGGAGCATGGGACTCTTGACTCTCACTTCCAGAACTCTCGATCCAATATCCGCCTTCGACGCCCTCGTCGTACTCTTCATCTCTATCTCCCTCGTCCTCTGGCTCCTCATCCTCGTCCTCTTCACCTTCCTCTTCCTCTTCTTCACCAGCGACCTCGTCCGGCTGCCCCTGTTCCTGCCGCTCCAACCACAGCATGGTCTTCTCCTTCCTAAGCCTCTGTTCTTCGATATACTCCCTCACCAATGGAGGGAAATTGGGCTTCCATGTACCTTTTGACATTGCGGTGGCTTTGTCATATATGGCTTTGATGCGCTCGCGTATGATCATATCTTGGTGAGTGGTGCTATTGGCGGAAGGGTCTGGAGCGGTACTGGACTCTGCTGTGATGGGTTTTGCGGTGGCGGTGGTGGTGGACATGTGAGTGGACTTGGATCTGGATCTAGAAGTGGAAGTAGGCTGTTCACTTCTGGCTCGTTTGGAGGCTCGCTCAGGAAAAGGTGATGGCGATTGAGGGTTCAAGTCCATTGGAGAGGAGGCGGATGTTAGACGTTCGCTCCGGCGACGTTTGTGCCTGTGGGGCTCGTTGGGTGAATGAAGGTTGGAGGTTGCAGGTCGGCCACGAATAGAAGGGGAGGCGATTAGCATGTCAGCTCGTGGGGTGCGACGCGTACTGCTAAGCCAGTCGAGTTCTGAGGCATCTTTGAATCTTGAGTCGTTGTCATCGGGTTGTTCGGAGGGTGCATTGTGCACATCAGAGTCGGATGACCCATCCAGCTGTGTGAGATCTCCGGTTTGCAGTTCCTGTGCTCGCTCTCTATCATCTATCACCTTAGCGGCTTGAAGAAGCATGCCGATACCCAAGGCATCTTGGGCGTATGGATCTTCCTGGCCGGCGCCTAATGCTTCCATATGCTGCAGCTCTTGTTGAGCCTGTGCTCTCTGCTGCGACCGCTCAACCACCTTAGGAGTGCTCGTAGAGTCTTGCTCGGTCGAGAACATTGTCGGCATTTTGAATGGTGAGGTCTGCTCTGGCCTATTCAGCTTATCATCTTGCTTGGTAGAATCAGAAGAGAAATGGCGGTAAGGCATCTTCGACTCAGACGTCTTGTTTTGCTCTGGTTGATCCGTGACACTCCGAGAAAATTGGGTCTGCATGCGATATGGTGACATTATTGGAGGGTTCTTCATTTGATCCGTCCGTGAAAGGTTTCCAGACCGGTTAGGTGTTGATGCAGGACGTTCTGTACGTAGGACTCTGCTGTCCTTTATGCCTGGACCTTGTGAAACGAATGGATCGTCGATCAACACATGCTTTGATACTGATGCATGTGGCAGCATTCTTCCAACCGACGACGAATGTTTTGTGGCGTTAATAGCCGGGAAACCAGAAGAAACACTGTGAGGTGGCGAGAATGTGCCCAAACGTGGATTTTTTGTGTTCTGGAATCTGACTCGGTTGGATTGATCACCTTCATGTCCTATTCTGATTCAGTGACCAACCTTTTCTGTTGTACAAGTATGCTTTCACTCACGCCCGATATCACGCAAAGACTCCTTCATTGCAGCCGCCGTTTCCACAGGATCCCAGCCGCCTTCGCCGTCATTCTGCGTGGCTTCACTATCTTCGTCGTTACCCTCCTCCGTCGTAAGCTCGCTTGCATTCTCGATGTCGACATCCGTACTTGAATCATCATCTTCATCCAGTACATCTGCCTTCCTCTTTTTCTCTCCAGCTTGAGGTTGTACTTTACCGTCAGCTTCATCTTGTTTCGCCCTCCTCGCCCTAGCGGCAGCAACCCTAGCCCTCAGATTCTGGTCCTGACTTCTCTCGAGTTTCGCTCTTGCCATTGCCTCAATCCTCCTTCCCTGCTGGGTAGTCTTGTTTCCACCAAGGGCTCGATGCACAGCAGAATTGCGCTCAACAGCGGTAGCCTTCGTCTTAGGGGTTGCCTTTCGAACCTTCTTGATGCCACTTCTCTTGCCTTGTGCCATGATAAACTTGACTCCATCATATTCGTAACCTCCATCCTCTTTCTTGTGCATGCAGATTGGTTGCATGTAGTCAGCATGTGCATCCTTGAGCTTAGCATGGACACTCCAATCTTTCCGTCCCATTGTAATCCCAGCGGGCTGTGGTTCTGTGTTTTTGACACAGCGAGAGCAGATCTGGTGATGGTCAGGGCAATTTTGACATTTGTAAAGAATCTCGCCATTCTTCTGCTCACAAACATCGCATTTGATGGTCTTTAGGTGGGTAATCTCGAAGACTTGGACATTAGCATCAGGTGACGGTTTGGAAGCTGATGGCGTGGTGGTCTTCTTTGCTGCTGCAAGTTTTGCGCGGGCGTTAGCAAGAAGCTGAGCGGAGTTGGTCATCTTGGAGCTGCTGCCAGAAGGTGTTGTGAGGGATGCCGCTGCTGGTGTGATGAGAGAAGACGGTGTTGCACTCATAACAGACGGTGTTCCAGGTGTGGTAGGGGATGCCTGGGTCAGTGGTTTTGATAATGTTGGCCCGGATGACGAGCCTGCTTCTTGAGGATGTGGGGGGGCAATGTCATATTTGGTTGCAGATGCCATGGGAGCCGGAGACAGAGGCTTTTGCTTGCTGGTAGGATCGCTTGAAGCCTGCGTGGCGGACAGAGGAGGTTGTTGAGGTTGAGATGGATCAGCCATGGCTGCTTTGGATGGTGGCACGTCAAAGTTCAAAGATGGCTTCAACGAGAAGGATCTACCAAATATTGGAAGGGTGTTTGACAGTCGATGAGGATGGATGATTAGGGGCCACAAGGGTGGAGGGTTTCGAGAGTAGAAATAGTGCTGGACACCTGAAGAGCAGGATTCGTATTCAAACGACGGAATAACACATTCTATTGTGTACAAGTAAAGATGGCTGCAGAGTGAAAGTATTCAGTATGACTAGCAGAGTAGGTATGCTTGAATTGCGTGTGTTCTCTTGTCGTCAACAGTGACTGCCGGAATTAACCGAGCCACCGCATGTAAGCGGTGTTGATGGGCTTTGGGACTTACCATACTCCGTATATGGACAACCAAGTATGGACTGAAATTGTGTTCAAGCACGTCATAAGTGACCTTAGAAGGAGTGAGCAAAGATGACTTATTTTCGAGCTAATCTTCACACTGAGCCCTAGTCTCTTTGGGACAGCATTGAACAGGGCCAGAAGCCTTTGGCAGACCAGACTCTTGGGTGTTCACATTAGGAGTCGCTGGATGGGTAGCTAACATTTTCATACCGTCTTCACACCGCCGAATTCGGTAGGCACCAGGAATGGCATCGCTCTATGTTGGGATTTTTGTAGCTGTCAAAACGGTATAGGAAGCTCGCAATTACGAAAAATAGTTTGCATATCTCTTGAGTTCACGTGCTATTTATGTTCTGGAAAGTTATTAGCCAATGTCTCAAATAGCTTCCTCATTGCCACTTACTGATTTCCTCAACCGGCATTGGTTCTATCCCAACAATCTCCGCGGCTGTCTCCTTGTCTTTGATACGTTCATCCCGCATAAATGGGAAGGCCAGAACTTCTCTGATTGTGTAATTGTCCGTGAGGAACATCACGAGCCGATCGATGCCCATGCCCCATCCACCAGTAGGCGGCAGGCCATATTCCAGTGATTCGCAGAAATTCTCATCAATCAGTTGAGCTTCTTCATCTCCTTGATCCTTCTGTCGAGCCTGCTCCTCAAATCTCAGCCGCTGGTCAAATGGATCGTTTAGCTCGGTGTATGCATTGACAATCTCCTTCTTGCAAACGAAAGCCTCGAAACGCTCACATAGACCTGGCTTGCTGCGATGGTATTTGGCCAATGGTGACATCATCTGAGGATGCTCTGTAATGAATGTAGGGTTGATGCATTTCTCTTCAATGAACTCTCCAACAAGCTTGTCCAGCATACGAGCATTCGTCTGTGGTGGCGAGCATTCGACATTGCACTTCTTCAAAACTTTCCTCAAAAACTCATTTGTTTCCGTGGTATGCAATTCTGGCCCTGGTGGGAACTTCTCTCCCGTAGCCTCTTCCAGAGCAGGTATCATTTCAATCCTCTTCCACGGTCTTGCCCAGTTGACATTGTAAGTCTCACCATCTTGGGTGTGGAAGGTCGTTTCGTAGCTACCAGTTACATGCTTGACCAAGCCTGATACCAGTTCTTCGGTCAGATCCATAACGTCATACACGTCGGCATAAGCCCAGTAAAACTCGCACGTGGTGAATTCGGGATTGTGAGTCAGGTCTGCACCTTCATTTCGAAATTGCTTGCCCAATTCATACACTCGCTCAAGTCCACCCACAATCAACATCTTCAGATACAGCTCCGGCGCTACCCGCATGAATAGATTCTGCTTGTACTCGTTGATATGTGTGACGAATGGCTTGGCTGTAGCTCCACCGGCAATTTGGTTCATCATTGGCGTTTCAACCTCCACAAACTTCCTCTCGTCGAAGAAGCGCCGAACGTATGACACCACGTTCGCTCGGGTTATCATTACATTCCGTGACTTCTCATTCATTATAAGGTCTAGATAGCGCTTGCGAAAGCGAGTCTCAACATCTTGTAAACCGTAATGCTCTGATGGTATCTGCTTCAGGCAAGGGGTCAAGAGAATGACTTGGCGTGCAAAGATCGAAAGTTCTCCTTCAGGACGATTCTTCGGTGCTGTTCGACCAGGGTAGCCAACAACACCAATTATGTCTCCTCTTCGAAGATGTTCATGCTGTGCCTCAAACTGAGCATTATCGGACGCCTCCTGAGCTTGACACATGACCTGCACCTTAACGCCCTCAGCTCGGATGTCATAGAATACCAGCTTAGATCCAGATGCTCGCTTGGTGTACACCCGGCCTGCGACCCGAATCTCTGTATCCTTTTCATGTTCGCCGGTCTTGATTGATGCATACCTCTCGAGGAAATCTCTCAGGTCGACATTGGTTTGGAATTTATGTGGATACGGGTTTGGGTCCTTGCTGTCTCTCAATCTCTTAATGCGATTGCTTCGAATCTCGAAATATTGCTACCTAACGTCAATGGCGATAACGGGTAAGCTCAAGTGTCGCTTACATTTGGTGTTAGATTGCTCTCGTCATCTTCGGCAGGTCTCTTCTTCTCGGTCTTTGCAGGTGTAGCTGCCGCCCGTTGTTGCTTCCTCTCTTCCTGTGCGCGGAGCTTCTGGCGTTTCTTGAGTTCGGTCTTCGATATCCTCTCACCTGTAACCTCGTCTAGATGCAGGTTCGCAACGTTTTCAGTGACTTCATTCGCGGAGTCCGCCATATCGACTAGCTTGTTGGGATGTAAAATGTGAACACAGGAACAAGGTACATCGCATTTTACTAGTATTGTGGGAGTGCTGTGGGGAAATATGAGTCAGTCGATTCAGGTTGCATGAGTCAGAACAATTAGTCCTTGGCAGCGAACTTCATATCGAGTCTACTGCCCAAGAGACACCTGTTCCTATCTGTGCTACCATCTAAAGGGGAACTTGAACGATATCATATTCTGCTGAGCATAGTTCCCGAAGCGTCACTGCCTGCTAAGTAATCCACAGTCGATTCTATCCTACCTTCTCCGAACCGTCCTCTACGCATGGCTTGATTGACCATGATAGTCCATTCACATTTCGAGCGTATATCACTCCATCCGTTCTAGCGGCTATCCTATTTCTGTCAGCGTGCCCAATGACCTTCGCCGAAAGACACCAAAGGATCGTTGTTGTTGAGAATGACGTTGGGCGAGTCAGGTAGGAGGAGTAAGGTTATTAGCATGATCAAGACTGCTTCTCTCGCTACGATAAAATGTTAAAGTTGACGTCTATGTACCTTCAAAGAACTTTCCGCCCTCGTCAACCCTGCAACTCTCTGAGGGGCGGCACATAGACCACATGTTGCTTTTGTACTTGAGACATCTAAGAAGGATCCTGTAATCCCTAAGGTAGTGGTGCATGCTCCAACTCTGGTTAAAGAATCTCATTAGGTAGGGCTCGAATTTAGCAAGATGCCTTACGGATTCTGTGTTTCTCGGTCTGCAGAATTCCAAATTTACAGTTTCGGGTCTTCTGGATAGCCATTTTAAATCCTCCTCCTTTGATTTAAGAACCTGGCTTTGAACATTGCACCTTCACCAGAATCTCACAACACCAAGCCTACCACCAGTATCAAATTGGCAAGCTGAGCTCTGAATGAGTTTGATCAGTGACCTCGCTCGGAACCTCTGCCTCTTGTGATGTGAATGAAGCACAATGTCTAAGGCTAATTCGAAGAACCTATCAACGTCGAAAACAAATGATTTGTCACCGCCGCCAGCGAAGCGCTTGAAGTAAGCACACCTAGGAAATTAATCATCATGCCGACTGGCTAACTCTCTGTGCACCAGATTCGAAGACGAGACAGTGAAGGTCTTTGTAGGGCATGAGGAGAAGGCCTTCATAATTCACAAGCTTCTTGTCTGTCAAGCGTCCCCCTACTTCAAGGCTGCGCTCAATGGAAGCTTTGAAGAATCGGTTGACGGCAAACTTTATTTGTACGAACAGGAGCCGGAACTATTCAACTGCTTCGTCGAATGGGTGTATTCAGGAAATATCGATTTGCTCAAACTCTGTGGGGAGCAGCGCCACGATTCCAAGGTCTGGACGAAATTTTCGAAGCTCTACCTACTATCCAAGTACCTCCAATGCCCAGCATTCGGGAACTGCCTTCTCGACACAGCGCCCGTCATATCGCCCCTTGACAATCGAAAATACACCTTGCCAGATACAGGAATTGTGAAGATGGTTTATGAGAAAACAGTAGGGCAGTGTGGCATTCGCAGATATTTGACGGCGGCGTTCGTCTGGTTGACGAAAGACATCGTTCCCAAAGATACGAAGCTTTTTGGTGAATATTTCGCTGGTTTGCCAGCAGATTGCGTTCTAGATATCACAAATCTCGCTGTGGGAGCGGCCCACAATGGGTACCGGAATCCATTCAAAGAGTGGTCACCAGATATGAAGACTTACCATGACAAGTGACAGGGTCAATAATTGTGGAATTGTCAGGGTTTTGATGCTAGAGAAGCAGGACAAAGTCGTGGCTTGAGTTTCATCAGGCAAGCGGAGAAAGCTGTGCGTTGTATGCTGAAAGGCAGATTGCAATCATGAGTCACCTTTACTAGCCGGGGGATACTGGACCGGTATTTTCTCCCTATGAGAGATCGTCAGGAGTGCTACAATGGCGATAGTGTGGACAGAGCATTATCATGACCAAGTTTGCATTCTTTATTGCGAAAATCTATGCTGACTCCGTGAGCACTAACAAGCGATCAGCTCATCCGCTTGCTTTGTCCCTATCCCCCATCGAAGCTAGAAAGTATAATCCCATCACCAAAGGCCCATTTTCGTCAAGGCAGAATACTTATTTGTGTGTATCACTTCAAGCACCTGCATATGAGGCCAAGCTACTGTATTTCTTTTGGTCACCCTATCCACTATTCTGCGTCTTTCAACCAAGAACCCATATTGCTTCCATTAGGAAACCCCTGTTAATGCTTCGGTGCTGCAACAAACAATGTCACGCCCCCCAAAGAGGCCAGCAGCGCTCGACAGCAACCTTCGGCAACTTATGTCACGTCGAGGAGTGATGATGCCTTCAAACCATCGTCTTGGCTCGTACTCAGGCTTACCTGCGCTTAACAAGAAAAACGACATCGCTGCAGTTGATCAATCAGCTGGTGCGTCGTCCGAACCACCCCGTAAGCGATTAAGGTACGATATTTAGCATCCAGTCTCTGAACTGTGCACTAACTTATAGAATATGCAGGTTTGCAGAAGACGCTGTCACTGGCATTGTCGGATCCGAGAAAGTCTCATTTACTGTGCATCAACGCTTACTATGCGATGCTTCCAAGTTCTTCAAAGACGCTCTATCCGGAGGCTTCAAAGAGGCGACCAAGAAACAAGTGAGGCTTCCCGATGTCACTCCTACTAGCTTCGAAAGCTTTCTTTCGTGGCTTTACTCTAGCTTCCCGGGTCAGACACACATGATAGAGGAATTGAAGACCAGCGTTCCGTATTTATGCTGGTCGCTGGCTCTGCAACTTTACACACTAGCCCATTATCTCCAGTGTCCAGCCTTCGGCAACAATGTCATTACTTGCATCCGAACTCGACTTGACGATGACTTGCCAATTACCGAGCCTAACGCCCAGCAGATCACAGACATCTATTCTCAGACCTTAGGTGATTGTGGTCTTCGCCGCTTGATTGTACTTATGCATACTATAGTACCGAGTGACGAGGCACTGCTGAGTACCGCAGAGCAGATAAGTGCATGGATAGAAAATGTGCCGGCAGAGTTCACTAGGAATCTTAATGTCAGGTTGATGATTGAGAATGTCAGATGGGTTTCAGGCTTTTGGGCCCAAGGTTGGGTGGTTGAGCGAGTGGAAGATGACGAAGTGGGATATTCAGTAGAGAACAACGATCTGGGAAAGCCAGCCGCTCATTAATGAGTAAGTGAAAGCAGCTCTGGATAACTCTACCTCGACTGAATTTGGAGGGACGTATTGCATGTGAGCACATGAGCTTGACCATGGCTCTCAAGCTGAATTTTAGTTTGAAATATTGAAGTCGTTAAGGCTCCTCTACCTCTGTGCTGGAGGTGTTATTATCAATGCAAGTTCCCAGAACTCCTGCCTCCACATACGCCGCTCTCTCCGGTGTTACCTTGCGGTGTTCGCTGGCAGTATCCTTTCTCCTCTCAGCTCGCCCTTGATACAACTTCACAAACACACTGAGGTCACCTGTGAAAGTGGATTTGCTTCCGCAAGCTACTTCTTGCTCAATCCGCCTTTCACTTGTCTCGTACTTATTCGCTTCATTCCTTCTCCTGCTCACCATCAAACCTGAAAGGATTCCCAAGCCATCGTGAGTGTAACCTTGCTCCTTAGGATCTCATTTTGAGTTCGCAACAGGTTCATTGAGCTTTTGGAAGATGCCTTCGTAAGTCTCATTTGTTCTTTGTTCAACAGAGGAAGTAATGACAACGCGTCTGGCAACAGCTCCAGGAAGAGGCGTATTCCGAAGTTCGTAATACGTGATGTTGACGAGGATGTCCTGTATGGTCCAAAACCTCAAGACGAGGATCAAGAACTCGCCATAGGTGATTCGCATTACGAGACGGTTTCACCAAGTCCCAAGCGATTAAGGTTAGTCCAGATTCAACCACCTGGACCTCAATCGCACTAATAATCAGTACCAGATACCAAAACACATCAGCGGTTACAGTATTCGTTGGACAGCAGGCGACTCCCTTTGTGGCACACAAGGAGTTCTTGTGTGAAGTGTCTGATTACTTTAAAGCTGCTTTGACTGGCCAGTTTGCTGAAGCCAAAGAGGATAAAGTTAACCTGCCTGAGCAAAAAGCCCATGTGTTCGATGACTTTCTGACTTGGCTCTATGGAGGGTCGCTCGACAGCCTGGCACTCCGGAAGTTAAAAACAGGACTGGGACATGAACTCGACTGGGAACATATCCGCGACCTCTATGTCTTTGCAAAGTACATCCAGTGCCCAAAGTTTAGCAACCATCTACTCAGCACTGTATGGAAAAGCTCAATTTCTGTACTGATTATCAGATCCCCCGCGCCTGAGGCGGTAACGTTGATCTACCAGGATACGGCGGAGAGTTGTGGTCTCCGGAGACTCGTCGTGGGGTTTTTCATGCAGAATAGGGACAAGAGTGACTGGACAGATCCCAAGGAAAGCAAGGATTGGATCAGCAAGTTCCCCACCGAGTTCTGCTGTGAAGTGCTCGTCCAGACTACCAGACAAGTGATGGGGCTTGAGAAGCAGATTCTGGTTCCTGGGGGAAGCTCTGACGAATGTCCGTACAGTGATTGACAAGAAAAACTGTGATGCTGGTGCAATTAGAATTGGCATGAGGAATTCATGATCACGAGGTAGCACGAATATCGTTTCGCGGAGACCAATGGTGACGAATTCATGGAAGGCTGGAGAGCTAGGGAGCTGTACGATGTCTCCTCGATTCGTGCCGTCACGTTGCTGGGTCACGTTGTTGGTAAGAAGGTGGCAATCATAACTCCAAGATTTGCTTGCGTGGGCAACGAAACAGTATGGAGCTTGTCAAGGAAGTTTTGGCCCTGGGTTAGGTGGCCAGCCCCTGATCTTTGTGCTCAAGTAGGGAGGGTCAAGACAAATCATACCTAAAGCCTTGTAGACAGATTCACGTGCTCTTTCAAGAAACACCCTCAGAGGCATTGAGCACACGAACACTCAAGTTTTTGCTCCTTATCCTGCGTTCTGGTGATGTGACCTGCTCTGCATATTTTCATCTCCCACACCTTGAAGTCACAACCTTACTTCCTAGATTCTGGCTCCATTTTAACGCAAGATATGTATCGTTCAGCTTGACAAGAACCAGAGTCATAGAAGAATCCAGCATGGCAACCCCTAAGTGAGTTCCGAATCCTCATCGAGTCTTCATTTTGCTTTTGCTAATGTGAAGCTTCAATACAACACCAAGAGTTAGCCTCCCGGTCGACAGTGGACCGTCGTTCAATACAACACAGCCTCATGCCCCAGCTTCGACCACTGCTCTTAGTAGCAGCATTACTTCAACCACCCCCATCAATACGCCGACCACGCTCCAGCGCCAACCTTTCTTTACAGTAACACGTAAAGAAGGGCCGGTGGAGGAGTTTCTCGCGTTTCAGAGCATCATCTTTCTGCCTGAGTTTTCCAAACACTCTTTCGAAGAGGTTCGTCTGGCAGATTATGAGAAAGGCGCTGGACCAATCGTGAATAACAGTAGGCGAGGCCTCTTTGGTGGAAGTGGCTTTAGAGGAAGCATGTTCGAGCAAAAAAGCTTTGCAGGGTCTGGTGATGCAGGAAGCAGAAATACTTTCAGTGGTATTGCCTCAGGCAAAACCGGCGGAATGAGTACAAACCCTCCAGCATCTTCGACTTTGGATGAGAGTAGTCCTCCGCTAGCCAAGCGCCTTAAGTGAGTCTCAAAGTCTATTCTATCACTTAGGTAATAACATTTCCTCAGATACGGCGACAATGACATCTTCAAAGTCCTTGTCGGATCTAAAAAGGTGTCATTCAACGTCCACAAAAACTTCGTTTGTGGAGTGTCCCCATTCTTTCATGGCACTTGCAACAGTCTGTCCAAAGAAGGGCTGAAAGACGAAGTCTATCTCCCCGAGGCAGATCCCGAAGTATTTGATGCTTTCATGGAGTGGGTTTACACGGGCAAAGTCAAGTTTTCAGCGTGGCCCATTAACAAAACTTCTAAACCAGAATGCAATGCATGGTGGTCGTTCGGGACGAAGTTGTATCTGCTTGCCCACTACCTTCAGTGTACGACATTCGGAAACGCTGTCATAGATTCGATAAGCCGCGCCGTGACAAACAAACAGGTCATGCTCTTCCCAGGACCCAATCTCATCGACTTGCTCTACAAGTCGACCCCAGGAGATTGTGGACTTCGAAGAATTTTCGTTGCACTGAATGTATGGAGATCCGGCGCTGGGTACTGGAGAGGGGATGACGAATGGAGGACACGCCTCAGCGGCTTGCCAGTTGAGTACTCCAACGACCTAGTCGTTCAGTTGTTGAGGAGAAACCATCAATTTGATCAAAACCCCTTTGCCGGAGATACAGCTTGTCATGTCTTCAGGGATAAAGAGCTTGGTTCTCAGGCGGTCGAATAAATTTCATAAACCAGACCGGGCTGGTCAGCCAGTGCAAAGATAGGCCTTCATGGCTCCCTGAGATGACTAGCTCGAATAGTTTGCAGAAGACCGAGTGTCGCTGAGTACCTGAGCTGGCCACGTCTCATCCATGGATGGTGTTGTGACGATCGGTTGTGAGGTCTTGTTGCTGTTCATCATGTCTTCACAGGTGACACTTTGGACGAAGCCGCTGCTATTTCGTCCACTGCTTATGTCACCACATTGGCTGCTCCAGGCAATCCAAAGATTTGAAGTGCTTGAAGGATGATGGAACGACAGTGGAAGACAATTGATAGGAGGTGAACTCGTGAGGGCAGGTGAAAAGCAAGAATGCCAAGAGCAAATTAGTCGGCACTTTCAATAGTACTTGCTACTTACGACGTAGTACGGAGCACTTAGCGTCTCTTTCTAGTGGCCTACATGCAGCATCAAGCGCTTCTTGACTACGATCTCTTTCTCGCAAACATGCGATGCTACAGATCTAAACGCTTTGCCTTCCTACCCAAAGTCATAATTATGTATTGCTGTCGATCTGGTGAGTGGACAGACGTGTTGCTATTTTCTTGCTAACCTTCCTCCTCATCAGCTCGAGCTCCCTAATGCCGTTCAAGTGAAAGAGCTCGATACCCGCAAACCGTGGGACCTAAATGAAAAATCCTCCCTAATGCCTCTGCCATCAATACAAATCGAGTAAAATTGGCCCTGTGACTCGCTCGTTTGGCTGGCTTGATCTGTGGTTTCTTCTGCTTCTTTCGGTGCGCTGGGCCGTCTTCAAGGCGTAAGGAAGTTTCAGACCATGTCCTACACTTTACAAGCGGTCAACAGTAACAGATGCTCTTTTGCACTTGGAAGCACTGCTTCCCTGATCTTTGCGTTTCAAAGAGTTCCCCTGTGATGCAGATATCGTGGAATCTTCCTTCCTTGTGGCAAGTACAATTTGACGCCTCTGCTAAGTATCCAGTTCTATCTAAGGGTTCTTGTCTTTAATCCTTGTAAGCAATGGTGTCTCTCTCTACGCATCGTCTCCGTATTTTGGACAATGGCGGTGGCGATCTGTGTGACCTGGGAGACATAGGTTGTCATCCGCACCACCTGGCAATACCGCTCTACCCTGTGATTTCGCCTCTGTTCGGAAGTTGCTGCTCTCCATTTATTTGTAGGGTGCCTTGCCAGCAATCTCTTATTCCCAAGGTCTCAGCAATTCATCACAGAAAGAGTGCTACAATGTTTGGTTGACTTGTTTCGATAAGTATTCGAATCTTAGCGCAGTTGAGATCTTCAGGAAAAGGGATGGTCGAATCTTGTTCGAAGACAAATGTTGCTGAAACGAACCCGGTTTCATAAACACGTGATAGACCTTTGTGTCGTTCCCGTCCAGGAGAGCATCTTTCGGGTTTGCTGACGAAGGGTTTCGATGACATCTTCCTCTTCCCAGTCGCCGCACGGGTAATATCTCGATGTTTCGCCAGATTCGGTGTGCGTCTCTTGACGAGACTCCATTCGTACAGCGCATTCTCAAAATTGTGGTAGCAATATCCAGCTGATGATGCTCTTCAAATGCTGGTCTTGACTTCAGGTCATGATGAACCTGCATTTCATGTCTGTGAGCTTGTCTTGAGATATCACCCTACTGTGAATAACCAGAGATGTCATAGGGACATTCCGCGCGGTCGAAGGTGTGCCATTGACCTTTCCTGAACTCTTCGTCGTCCGAATTCTTGCAGATCCGGGCAAATAGATCCACACATAGCACGATAGAGGCAGAAAAAGGTGCTAGGCCCTGCTCTTCGAAATTACCTGCGTAAAGGTAGAGGTAGCAGAAAAGGTATTGTATTCAGAAGCAAGATCGTAAAAACGAGGGTGCATTTGAAGAAATGGGAATGTAAGGTGCTGATCATCATATCAAGATTTGTGGGCTATAGCGGAAGTGGAAGTACTAGAGTAATCTTGATAGCATCGGCATGAGCAAGAGCTGAAGGACTACTTTCTGCGCTGAATGAACTGGCCAGAGATCACAGGCAATTTCACGTTCAATAACGCGCTGCGCTCATTCCCCAGGGTATCATGCTAAATCCTTCCATTTTCTTTCGCCCTCTATGCAGTCGATCCGCTCAGAATATCGGAGTCACCAGCATCCAGTACAGCCATGGTGGAGCACCGGTAAAGCTTTCCGCAAGCGGTGCCCAGCTCAATCTATATATCTTGGTCAGCGTTTTGACCCTCCAAAGCCCCGTAGAAGCTTCTTCGCAGGGTGATCGACTGGAGGTGTGCTCACGTTGTTGCCCGCAAAATGGTGAACATTTGTCTAGGTCGCGTAATCAGCAAAGGCCCAATCAGAAGTGTACCAGGAACATACTTTTGACAGCATTGAGTAGTATTCAAGCTCGCTTTTTCGAAGAGGTGGAGTATTGCCGGCAATGATGACAAGCTTGGCCTTGCCAGAGCGCAAAGATTTCAGCGTCGACTTGTAGCCAAGAGTGACTTTGAGGAACGATCAGCCAGTCTGCTGATATTCTTGATGCTTCGACATTACCCTTGCCAGATTTCATGACCAGCGCAAGCCGAGAGTTAATGCTATCAGCGGTCTTCTTCGCTTTCTTGGGCGCCATCGTTACGCTTGAGAAGTCTTGAACGACCTCTGCAATTGAAATTCGAAAGGGTGCGCTCCGGCGGAGGTTCTAGGTTTTAATAGCGAAGGCGGTTGATTAATATCTCAAACTTTGCTTGGTACTTTGAATTAAACTTCATTGTGGGATTTTGGCTAACACGTGACCTTGAGCCTCTTGGCGTAGACCCTGTGGCTTAGTACTACCACTGCAGGAGAAGGGTTCTAAATATGACGCCGTAATGGCCCTAGTGAATTTGCGAGTGATTAGCCATTACAAGGACTGGAGGACCGTCAAAAGACGATCAGAAGACCATAATTTGACCGTCATATGACCATAATTTCTCAAAGGACCTCCAAAATGACAGAATTTCAATGTATTTGAGATGTCTTGACTCTGTATTTCTATGCTAACTAAGTCATATCATGGTTAGGCCTAAACTAAGCAAAAATTGATGGTAGTCCAGACATAGCTTTCAGAGGCCCTCTTCCTGCTAAGTAGTGGCTATATTTGTGACTGAACTAGAGAAGAACACATACTACGTCGTAAGCTGCGGAAGGTGGAAGAAGATCCGACGTGGAAATTCCCCCTCCCTCTCGATTGAACAGGGTGGCACTGAACAGCCATGTTGGAGACCGTTGACGAGAGGCTGTTGTAGGCAGGATCATGCAGCGCTCACCCACGAATCACCCGGGAGCGCTGGACAGTGGGTGAGCGGCAGGTGAGAGCAGGTGATAAAAGCGGCGTCGACGGCGTGAGTGTCGAGGTGAGTGCCGAGCAGGTTTTACTTCTCTTCAGTTGCCAAGATTTTGAAAATAATCCGCACGAATGGCATCCAGTAGAACTTCTGGAGACGATCATCTTCTTCGTTCTCGGAGCTTTTGGGGCTTGTGGAGGGTTGCTGGGGGGCCAGAAGTGGCTCTGAGGCCCCACAAGTAAGACCTTGATTGTCTCTTTCGCACGAACGCCTCTTCCAATCCGCTGTGCCATTAAGCGCTTCTTCATCTTATTATGAGCCTTGAAGTGACGCTTCTATGAAGACATTTTGACCGTGCTAGGCATTTGAATGTGAAGGTCCTCCTCCTCAAGCTCTTGCGTAGATTCGACAGGACCTCGCTGTGCCCGGGTAGGATATCGAAAGACATTTTCGATTTGGAGCAGGCAAATGAGAGGACGGCGACGAATGTTTGATCACAACTGGTAATACCAGCCATAACCAACAGAACAAGGTTCCGAGCATTTGTTTTGAATGTACCATAGATAAAAAGAGTCCAATCAGCCATAAATTGTTGAACGTACCAAATGTGATCAAGATAGGCAAACCAGATTTGCTGTAGCTGTGTATCAACTCTCTGGCCCTCTGAATTCAGCTCCCTCCTCCGTGCGACATTCAAACTCGAAACCAGCGTCTTTAAGAGCGACAAGAAGGCCAGCAAAATCATCCTTTTCCGCACACACAGTTCGATGATGGAGATTAAGTCAACTCTACCTGTGACTGCCTTCTTAAGGACAATTTTCCCAAGGCACAGGAAATGTCTCAACCCAGTCTTCAACCTCTTTCCGCAATTCTCCAATTTCCAGGACGTCTGTGCCGTCCCCCAACACCTTCAAGAACGTTTTGATCCCTCCAGGAGTCTTGTAGCCGCGACTCTCAGCCTCTTCGCGAATCCTCATATCAACACGTTGCGTGATGGTGATGGCGCGATCAATGACATGGGCGACACGAATATAATCGTTCGCCTGGAAGCGGCGGTAGCCCCGAGCCGTAAGCCCTTGGGCGCGGTGGCGGAACGATCACCAGGCACGGTGTTTTTGTTGGCGACGACACTGACGAGTTCAAGGACACGTTGCACGCGAGCGCCATCCACGCCACGGTCGCGTAGATCCAGCAGCACGATGTGGTTATCGGTCCCGCCTGAGACGACGGTGTATCCATAGCCGCCCTCATGTTGAGATGTGCCCAGGCATTTGGCGAGCAATCGCGCGTTAGCTACGACCGCCTCTGCGTATGCTTTAAACTCAGGCGTCTGCGCCTGGCGTAAAGCGACTGCGAGCGCCGTGATGGTATGTTGGTGTGGGCCGCCTTGATGACCTGGGAACACGGACGAGTTTATCAATTCTTCTAGGGCGTAGAGCTCTTCCTTGCCGTGTTTATCGCGACGGCGGACGCCTCGTCGGAAAAAAATCATCGCCCCACGCGGTCCGCGTAACGACTTGTGCGTTGTCGTCGTGACGATGTCGGAGTGCAGAAATGGCGACGGCAATACGCCTGTCGCGACCAGACCAGAGATATGCGCCATATCTGAGAGTAAATACGCCCCAACGGATTCAGCTATAGTTCGCATGCGAGCATAATCAATTTTCCGTGAATAGGCCGAGGTGCCGGCAATTATCATCTTGGGGCGGTAGAGCGAAGCAAGAGTCTGGAGGTTTTCATAATCAATCAGTCCAGTAGATGGTTCAAGCCGATAAGGTAAGGACTCGAAATATTTAGAGCTTGCCGATACTTTCTTGTTGGCGCTCTGAAAGCCGTGTGAGAGATGTCCGCCATCAGGAAGGTCCAGACCCATAATGCGATCATGGACGTTGAGGAGCGCGGAGTAGGCATACAGATTTGCAGGAGTCCCAGACAAAGCTATATTGTGTTAACATATCCACAGCTTCTTAAAGTAGCACTTGCAAACATACGTTGAACGTTAACGCCCCAGTCTTCTTCCTTGAGACCAAAGACTTCAAGCGCTCGTTTCTGACACAGTCGTTCCCCTTGATCAACAAATTCGTTTCCGCTATAATATCGTGCTCCAGGATAGCCTTCCGAGTTGCCGCCTAGCAGTCAAAAGTTATTTTAACCTGGTAAATCGTGGCTCGGCAGTATAAAGCTGCTCAGCAAAGAGCATCTAACGTACCTTGCATTACACTACCCAGCGCTTCAAGGACCGCTTCTGAGGTGAAGTTCTCCGAGGCGACGAGATTAAGAAATCTCTTTTGCCGATGTTTTTCCTGCATCTCATCTCAGTCACAGACATAGCTGCGATATGCTGTAAAATGACTCTTGTACTTGGTGCATTATTTGATACATTTCCGGATCCGCCTCTTCCAGGTTTCGAGAGAGTAACTATTTCTGATACTCAGCCATTGTTCGACCGTAATGTAAGTCTTGTACACGCTTAGATACCTTGTGCTGGGCCCGGGCCGCCATCGAGATGGTCCGGAGCCTCGCACTTGAAAGGGTCTGGTTGTGCATACGTTCTCTGGTTACCATCGTCTTGAACATGGCAAACAAAACTCGCGAGGTACGAGAGGAGCTCGCAAATGAAATCGCGATCATGTTCCTTTAAGTGCAAACAAGGTTGCCTCCTAGACTTTATTCGTTCCGTGGGGTTCTAGGACTGATATATGAAGGTACGTAAGATTCAACTGCAATTCATCTCGACCTCGAAAAGCACTGCAATGCCATAGCAAAACCTGGCATTGGCAGTTCACCAGATGACGTGCCAACATGCAATGCAAACGCAATCCGTCTCTCATACGCGGCATGAATGTGGAATACTCAATAAGTAATTACCATGATGCATAGACTAGCGCTGTGGACCTCTGGGTTGAAGGTCTTGTGTCCTGCAGGTCTCACACTGAGTAACCGAAAAGCTGCAGAGATGTAGTATTCAAAGCAAGATGATCAATAACATCAGTGATTGAACGAGAAGGATTATGCAATATTAGAGAGGTTGTGCAATGATCAAGTAGTTTAGGTTATGGTGTACTACCCGTTAATCGATGTAGCAAGTAACAAGCTATTTGTCAATCAGATAGAAGAAATGGCTCTGTTCTTTCTCAAAAGGCGCAGGGCGCGCAGAAATAAGTACAAATTCGCTGTATGGCGTAGACCAATCAAAAGCAGGCGAAACGCAGGGATTTCGCGTAAAAATAACGTCTGACACTATTCCATTTGCAAACGTTTATAAGCTGACAGGAACGCCAAGCAACAACTTACGACTGGGTCAGAAAAAAGGATACACAGCATCTTGTGCAGCAGGAGGAAGAAATGGCTCTGTTCGTTCAAAAAAGGTGCACAGGGCGCAGGAATAAGTACAAATTTGCTGTAAGGCACAGCGACATTAGCCGCGAAATTGCAGCAGAAATTGGCCAATCAACAGCAAGAAAAACGCAGGGATAACGCGTACGAAACGCGGCCAATAAGTGCTCCTGCCGTTTGACACATCTTTACTATGGCACAGCAGTAGCGGTGGTCTAGCTAGTCGCCCAAGGTCTACAGGAGGCGGGGAGCAAAATGGACATGATGAGTTCTAGCCCTTTCAAGGATAGTGGTCACACACCATCCTATGTGAGCGCATCCGGCAAGAATGCATCTCAACCAGTGATCTTTAGATTCATGTGTAGATCATCGAAGAAGGTGAGTGAAATATATCACCGGATCATGCCCGAATAACAAAGTGTGCATCCACCGCATCTCAGTACTTGGCACTATGCTGGATTTGGAGACATTATTCTTACACAACTTCCACATTACCTGTGTTACGAGGCGCCTTTATTAAAATATGTCATGTGTGCACGCGCAGACCCTGGGCTTCCACAAAGCGCGTCAACCTGACCGTCCAATCAAACTGGTATTGGGGCGCTCTTTCCGTGCATCTTTCTGAGCACGACTGATGGGCCTGACTGTATCGAAACCTGCAGCTCAGCTGACGTAGCTGTTCATGTATTGAGGGAGAAGGAGAAATAGTGTCCGCGTAGGGTGTGTGCGAATGTCTTGGCCTCTTTGATCCTCTTGTAATTGCTTTTGGGGGCATTACCTTATCAAGGCTCTGATATGTACAATACTTAATTGCCTCTCAGACATAACAACTCGTCGTTCTATTTTCTACTCTTACTTCTCTTACAGAGTTCAGATTTCTCTACTAGTGGATGACGGAAAATGTCAGAGACTGATCGTCTCCTAAAAGATATTGCCGAAGAAGAGGTTGTCGAGTCGGAGCAAGATAGCTTCCTGCCCCCGGTTGATGGCGGGAAAGATGCCTGGTTGTTTCTGGCTGGCTGCTTCACCATCGAAATGCTGCTTTGGGGTACGCTTCTATTTTGACCTCTTCCTTCTCTATTGATGCTTTCTTCTTGCTTGCCACCATGGGACAGCTACCTCAATCTAATGCTCTCGAGTAGGATTTCCCTTCTCATATGGTCTGTTTGGCCACAAAGAACACAATACATCAAGACTTCTGACGGAAGGGACGAACAGGGATTCTTCAAGAGTATTACACTGCCCATGAACCTTTCTCCGCTTCTCCATCAGCAATCCCTATCATCGGTACATCAGCAACCGTGAGCACCGCTTTCAGCTCTATCTGCACAGGTTTAACTGACATCTCTTCAGGGCATAATGTATCTTGGCTCGCCTTTCACCTTTATTGTACTCATGATGCAACCGCAATGGAGCAGACCGTGTACGATCCTAGGATTCATGATCCTGATTCTGGCTTTGCTTCTTTCCTCATTCGCTCAAGCCGTCTGGCATCTAATACTGCTGCAAGGGGTACTCTATGGGGTTGGGGGAGCCATGTCATACTGTCCTTGCATTCTATTTATGGACGAGTGGTTTGTGAAAAAGAAAGGATTGGCTTTTGGAATCATGTGGGCAGGTAAATTCTGCCAACACTATCGAGGACCGGAGGTTTAATCTGTTGGCGCATTTAGGCTGGGACAGGCCTGGGCGGGTTACTGATTCCATTTCTTATGGACTGGGGCCTGGAAAGACTCGGATTCCGAATCGTACTTCGGGTTTGGGTGGTGATTTTGGTAAGTGGATGTCTAAACAGAGAATTCAACTATCAAGAAGACACTACCTGACATCCGCAGCTCACATCAGCAGCTGACACATTTGATACTAGGGATCATTTCTGGGACCGCTAATGTACTACCTGAAACCTCGTTTGCCAATTTCATCCCATGATACATCTCGAAACATCAGCTTCGAATTCTTACGTCGCCGTGAGTTCTGGGTCTACCAAATACCAAACATTATCGAAGGTCTAGGCTACTTCATCCCGCCTCTTTACCTTCCCTGTACGTTTTCTCTATTGCACTCTTTCTTTCAAATCTCCCGGCTCACCCTCTGCATTAGCATATGCAAGCGCAATCGGACTTCCACAGATCGCAGGTCCACTGACAGTGTCGCTCTTCAATGGAACGCTGGTTCTGGGGACCATCGTCTTGGGGGCCCAAACGGACAGACTCCACGTTACAACTGTGATCCTTATCTCGGCCATCGGCGCCGCATGCTCCGTTTTCATTCTCTGGGGCATTTCGATCTCATTGCCCGCCCTCTGCGCCTTTAGCATCGTCTATGGGTTCTTCGCCGGTGCTTTCTCAACTAGCTGGTCCGCTATCATCCAGGAGATTCGAGACAGACACCCTGATGCAGATGCAGGTATGGTGTTTGCGTTGTTGGCGGCAGGGAGAGGAGTTGGTAATTTAGCCAGTGGGCCGGTGAGTGAAGCTATTCTCTCCAGTGAACTCTGGCCGATAAACGCTGGGCTGGGTTATGGCACTAAATACAGTTGGTTGATCATCTTTGTTGGGACAACTGCAATAATAAGCGGTTTTAGTTGGGTGGGAAGAAAGTTTGGATGGGCTTAAGAGATAAAATAATAATTAGATAAAAAGCCTATGTATTATAATAGCCTTTAGAAATAATAGATAGCTATTTACATGATAACAGAAGATAACCTGGTTGATTAAACTACTACTATATTTTTACTTGAATTTGAAGTTCTTATTAACTGTCTAGAAGAATGAGTTGTTGGATTGCTTGTTATCAGTCCCAAAAAATTCTGAGATAGTGATCCAACTTCACAAAAGAGTTACGCCCAAGTAACCAAAGTTACTTGAATGCAGTTGGAATAGTATATTAATCCTTATCCAGATGCCCTAGAGAGAGTCGGACCACGACTCCATCTAGGCCCCAGGAGGCCTCCATGTCAACTCCGTGACAAATTCTTCCTCATAATATTTGCTCCTTTTCTTTTGAATACTTTCATGAGACTATTGTTTTTAATTTAATAAGTTTGTTTGAATAGATAAATCAGATATAAAACTTATATACAGACTGTAGATATATATAGCTAAATAAGAACAATGTACCCCACCATGGATGGACACGTCTACCTGGTGCTGGGGACCAGTATCTATGTTCGCATAGAGAAGCTAGGATCCATCCAACAAGGAGTCAAAGCCATCAAAACGAGCCGATCTGCTCGGATTCATCAACCCAATGTTGCTTTAGACATCTTAACGAGAGCGCCAAGCTCATACCCGTCTGGAGGGGGTCCCCTCCTCCAGCTGTCCACTATACCAGGATGCAGTGGAGTAGTTCCGGCTATGATTCTCATTCTGCCTGACGCAGACCCAACTGTGGACCTCTATTGAATGCTTGCTGCAACTCTCTCATGCAACATCAGGGTGTTTTTGAGAGTAATACTCCTCAGTAGTCCTCGAGCCGTCATTGACCATTCCGAGGGCGAGGCTTCTCCTCGGTCTTGTGGAACTCGCAGACGGATTGGATACTCCAAAACCAGTTCTGACATAGCGTCGGATCATTGAGTCGGTTTGACTTGAAAGACGCCGAGATACTGAGGTCCGATTCTGGAACCTTGAAAACGACAGATGATGACTTGGGTATCTTGTGATGGACCAACGTCTCAAGGACTTGTGAGCTATTGTGCTCCCATGTCGAGATCTAGGATTGCACTTCATTCAAAGCCTTGTGGATTGCTTGGTAGTCAACCAGTGCGCACTGCAGACCACGCATATCGAGCTTAGACCAGCCGATGACATAAAACATGCATTCGCAATTGACATTAATATGACGGCGATCAACTTTTTCAGAGAAGTATACAATGAGTCTCAGCGTGGCAGAATCCCATTCTGGATCGTCATGCACAAAAAATAATTGGTCTTCGTCGTCGTACCTGCTCCATGGCCAAACATCGTAGATGTCGATATGGAGCGGTAGCTGGATTTGGAGTACGTGTGAGCGCGTTTGAGCTATCGAGGAACCTGCGCTTGGTCGCGGAGACTATCGGTCAGAATCAACCTGCGGCAGTCCGGTTAGGAGGTATCATTCTTTGGCTGCGTTTGGCGTACAGAATTCGATATTTTCCAATATCGTCCATGGGTCTTCACTGAGAAATTCGTTTGGGCCACACTTTCTCAGCAAGATGCCAAAAGAATTTCTCGGATCATCAGCGCAATCTAGAGGTAGAACATATCGAAAGGCTTTTCTTCCCGGAATGACCTGAGAGAGAACCTGGACATAGGTTTTGATACCAATGTTCGACGCCGAAAACTCTCTCCGGGAGTTGTCGGAAAGCCTTCTCCTCCTCACCGTACAGCAATGGCAGGTTGAGATCGAAAATACCTAGCAGAAAATATGCAGTATCTTCAATTCGAGTGGTTTCTCTATGAGCTGACCAGGCCATCTTTTCTGCCACAGCCACCGCCGAAAGCGGCTGCTCATGCCGAAGTACCTCGATCCCGATAGATGTGATTCTGTGGAGAGAATGGACCAGGTGGTTTTTAGAATCTTGGACGTTCCATTTCTTGTCGAAGAACAGAACGTTGTTAGGAGCGATCAGTTCCCGCAACGTCCAGCCCGTGTGAACCACTGGCAACGAGGTAGCATGACGTCGCGATGTCCAGACTCATCAAGGGCCGAAAGATACGCAAAACATACCTCTGCGCGCTCATACCACCTGTACATGGAGTTGATGGCTTCACTGAGCTCTGCGCTGCTGGACTTGTCAATGCAAACTCATACAACACTGGCGACAACATGGAAGCGATTACTCTCCAACCGGCCCGTAATTTTCACTTTTGGTTTAAATTTCATTTTTGTATTTTTCATTTTCCAGTATTTTCAAACCACTTACTCCACAACTTTTGTTGGTTTCGCATCAACCCTGTAAGCTATATCATACTGACTCTCAAGAGTCTGGAAATGGGCCATCCCTCCCTATACCCTCCCCCCTCCCCAAAAACAGTCCCAAATCCAAAGACATTCTTTTATATCTATCCCACGCGCCGGTGGGAATTTGCTGCATTTTAGCGTGCCAAGCATTTTCGGTCTTGGCATGACTTTTTTTCCATTTTCGGAGGATCGGCGCCATCCATCCCAACTTCTACATGGAATTGCGCAGGTCTCAACGCCAGCCAAAGCCTAGAACTATATGGGAAGAAAGAGGTGCTCCTTCTGCAGCTAGGGACCCCAAGATCACCCAGAGAACTGACCGAACGGAGCAGCAAACGGCTCTCAAACCTGTTGCCATTGGTCCTCTTCCGAAAACGCTCGAAATTGACGTCAATCAACTCCCTGACCTCCCTGCGTACAAACCGTCGTTAGAATTACGATTCGAGCGCTCAAAACCCCTTCTAGAAGGTCTCTCGGAGCTTGATACATTCCAAAAACTCCTTACGCCTGCTATAATCGACAGAATTATCAAATCAACGAATAGCTATGCCAAAAACGCTTGTGAACTAAATCTTGATAAAGACGATCCTGAATCCTTTTCTAGACCCTAGAAACTAGTTAATAAAGTTGACATATAGCGATATATTAGTTGTTTGCTTTATATAGAATATTATAGATTATCTAAACATAAAGAATGTCACGTGTCACGTTGGAAGCAGGCGACGAGTGCGCGAGATCTTCAGCCCATGTTGAGTGCTATCCTAAGACTGCAGAGCCGACGAGGGTGGCACTGGGGTCGCTCCTATATAGCGAGCATGCCCCTTACTAACGCGTAGTGCCAATCAATACCCGGCGGCCCTAGCGCTAGCG